AGAAATTACCGACAGACCCAAGAGATGCACAGCACTGATTACATGCAAACTCGCGAGATATTGCATTGACATCGCGGCTCTCAGTGAAACCAGGATGGAGGTGACAAGGAGAGACGAGAAGCTGGCGTAGGATTTGCTATAAAGACGACGCTTGCTGGCAAGCTAGTTGGCGTACCAAAAGGAGTGAACGACCGCCTGATGACGATGAAACCCCCTCACTCGAGGAAAATTCGCCGCTATTGTCATCGCATATGTTTCTACCCTCACTAACCTAGAGGAGGCTAAAACAAGTTCTATGAGAACCTCCAAAATGTCACCAACATCGTCCCCAACGCCGACAAGCTCGTTATTCTTGGTAACTTTAATACGAGACTTGGACGTTACACCACCACGGAGGAAAAGTGTGATTGGGAAACACGGAGTGGGCAAGTACAACAGTGACGGTCTGTTGCTTCTTCAGACCTGCGCTGAACACGGCCTTCTCATCACTAACCGTTTTCTGCCTTCCCATCTGTAAAAAGACGTCATTGATGCACCCTCGCTCAACGCACTAGCATCTCATTGACTACGTCATTGTCAGGAAGAGAGACAGACAGAAAGTCTGTTTGTTCACCAAGGCTTTGTACGGCGCGGAGTGCTTGACAGATCATGGTCTCATCGTCTTTAAACTTCAACTCTCATCTTCCGGATCAAACACAGGAAACGTCCTCAGGGGATTGAGACTTCAAAACGTCTCAACGTTGGCAAGCTCAAGTTTCCTTCCACCTCAGTACTTTGCTGACGCCCTGGAAGAATACATGAAATCCATCCTGCTGGATGACCACGACGACTTGGAAGCAGCACACTCCGTAATACAGAGTAAAATACAGCCTTCGAGTGTCTTGGGCCCTCCACAAAAACCACTGGATTGATGAAAACCATGCTGAGATCACGCAGCTTCTAGAGGACAAACATCGCGCTTACTTGTACAAGGCTCATATAGATGAGCCCACCTCCACAGCAAAAAGACGCTCTGAGGAACGCTCGCAGCCCAGTACAGCAATAGCTTCGGGATATTCGAGACTCCTGGCTGAATGCCAAGGTTGACGAGATCCATCGTTACGCAGAATCTCATGACAGGAAGAACTTTTACTATGGACTGGGGGTAGTCTTCGGGCCAACTCCATCAGGCTCATCCCCTCTCCTCAGTGATGACTGGTTAACACTCATCACAGAGAAGGAAAAGATACTCTACAGGTTGGCGGAACAATTCAATGGCATTCTGAACCGCCCTTCTACCATCAACGACGAAGCCATCAACCAACTGCCCAGGTTCCCATCAACCAGTCACTGGACGCCGTTCCAACGCTGGATGAGATCAAAAAAGCAATTAATTTGCTGTCAACTGGCAAAACACGTGGTGGATACTCCATCCCAGCTGAGATTTACAAAGAATGAGGCATGGCTCTAGTCGAAAAGCTCCTTCATCTGTGCGAGGATTGGCCTGACCAGTCACCTCTGAGCACACTGTCCAGGTCAACCCCCTCCTTTCAAAGATGAGACAGTGGTCATCGTCGTCATCGACCGACGAATAACTAAACTAGTATATGTGTGTTGGTACTCATCTTTTTCGTTATACAAATTTATGTAGTACAAGTAATTGTTGAATAAAAGTGGTAAAAATATGCAATTTTTGTTAGAATAAGGCTAGTAACTCAGTTAATGCTCTTTTAATATGTTCATCATATGTCTGAGTAATTCTGGTAGAACTATCTATCACGGTTGGCAACTGTGTGACAAATACTTTGCAGGTTGCAAATATATTTAGCTCAAAATACCTAATTTGAGTAAATAAAGGGCAATAACTGTGTCTCCAGCATTGAAGCCACAACAGATTTGATGCTATCATACATTTTTAGCTCACCTGAGCGGAAGGCTCAAGTGAGCTTTTCTGATCACATTTTGTCCGGCGTCCGTCTGTCCGTCTGTCTGTCTGTCCGTAAACTTTTCACATTTTCGACTTCTTCTCAAGAACCGCTGGGCCAATTTCAACCAAACTTGCCACAAAGCATCCTTGGGTAAAGGGGATTCAAGTTTGTTCAAATGAAGGGCCACGCCCTTTTCCAAGGGGAGATAATTATGAATTAGAGAAAAATTAATGGCATTTTTAAAAAATCTTCTTCTCAAGAACCACTGGGCCAGGAAAGATGAAACTCATGTGGAATCATCCTCAGGTAGTGTAGATTCAAGTTTGTTCAAATCATGACCCCCGGGGCTAGGGTGGGGCCAAAATGGCCGACCCAAGTTTTACATAGAAATATGTAGGAAAAATCTTTAAAAATCTTCTTCTCAAGAACCACTGGGCCAGGAAAGATGAAACTCATGTGGAATCATCCTCAGGTAGTGTAGATTCAAGTTTGTTCAAATCATGACCCCCGGGGCTAGGGTGGGGCCAAAATGGCCGACCCAAGTTTTACATAGAAATATATAGGAAAAATCTTTAAAAATCTTCTTCTCAAGAACCACTGGGCCAGGAAAGATGAAACTCATGTGGAATCATCCTCAGGTAGTGTAGATTCAAGTTTGTTCAAATCATGACCCCCGGGGCTAGGGTGGGACCAAAATGGCCGACCAAAGTTTTACATAGGGATTTATAGGGAAACCTTTTAAAATCATCTTTTGAAGTACTTCAAAGCTATGATTAGTGATATTAATATGGAATCATCTTCAGGTAGTGTAGATTCTAGTTAGTTCAAATCATGAACCCCTGGGGGTTAAAATTCAAGCCCCCCCCCGTAAACTTTCATTTCTGATCTGATATGTGCTTTTTCCAAGCCAATGTGCTCAGGTGAGCGCTGTGGCCCCTGGGCCTCTTGTCTCACTAGTTAGGGATATACCTTACCAAATATCACTATAAAGTTTATTCACCCAAAATGATACCGACCACCCCCAGTGGCTCATGGACTGTTTCCAAAGATTTGGTTGTCTCATGTAGGGGGGGATTAAAAACAGGAAAATAGTCATTTTATATGATAACAAATAAAAAATAATATACTTTATCAATCTCATATGTTGAATTTTACATTAATAAAAACATACAATGAGATTAAGGAGTCATTTATCCATTTTCATTAGTATTTGAAGATCTGATGATATGTTCGGTCTGATTTCAATTGATAAAATCTGCCCCTTATTAAAGGAGTTATACATAAGTTAGAGCAATTAACTTTTTGTCAATGGTTTTTAGAATAAGTACTTAAAACTGACCTCATAACCCACCCACCCACACCGCCAAAATAATTTTTCACGTTTACGAAAGGAGTTTACGGTGTTTTTTCTTGTCAAGAAATTTCTAAGTTATTTTTGCGGGGTTGGATCCCTCCTGGAAAAAAATCCTGGATCCACGCCTGTTTTTTTGACAATTCACATAAATATCAACGAAAATATGAAAAATTATTCAAATATGTGTTTCAGTTGGCAGTAAGCATCTAACAGTTGGCAGTAAGCAGTAAGCAGTTGGCTGTCGTACATGGCTTTCCATAGTTTTCCCGACGAAATCGGTTTTATATTTATAAAGGAGATATTGGCAAAAAACTGAAAAAACTATTCATGGAATTAACATATTTCCTTATCTCGGACTTACAGTATTTTTTATTTATTTTTTCGGATTTATTTATTTATTTATCATTATTTTTATTTTTATTTGTGTTGAAAACGTAATTAATTGTTTATTTTTTTTTTTTAAAGAAAATAATTGATTAATATGATTAAACATCATTTTTCTTATTATAAAAAAGTCCAATCTCAAAATCCAATTTTTGAAGGGTTGAATCTTTCCCTACATTTTTAAACTCATTGTTTTTTTTTCCTGCTGTTCTCTCTGCTCTTCTGGACTTTGATTTTGTTATTGAAATTATCGGAGAGCCTCTGAACTACATTTATTAATTCCTTGTTTAATATGTTATATGTTAAAAATAATTTAAGTGTCTATGTATATATATTAGTGTTGGCAACGAGTACCCGGTTAACCGGTTAACCGTCGAACGATGCGAGTATCGGTTAGTAAAGCTGCTATTCGGTTACTCGGATAAAAATACATTTTTCATAGTAAATACGTATAAAATGATTTTTCTGCTATTTGTAATTGTATATTGACACATTTCCATAATTTATTTACCGTTAGGCTTTCTCTACTGGTGCAAAATTGGGATCGATTTATTTTGATAAGTTTTCACAGCGTATATAATTAAGGGTTTTAATTACCAGGGGGATACATGCTTTGAAGACCTGAGTTATAATTACCTAATTTAGACCTGTGACAGTCAGAGGAAGATACTTTCACAAGATGCCGTCGCTAACAAATTTGAAGCGTGGATATATTTTAAAAGAACGACTGAATCGAAATCTGTCAAATGCAAATTATGTGAACTGAATCGGAGTTGTCATAAACGGGTGGAACTATAAATATGCTAAATCACCTTACATTGAAACAAAATTCGGAATTCAGTGACTTGTGCTAATTCTCCTCGATCGCGACACGTATCTTCTTCATGTGTTGATTTTTTTTAAATGAAAACAAAGAGACCGTTTTAGGCGACATTTAAAATCAATATTCTTCGAAAAGGTTGTGTTTTTTTAAAGTTTGCATAAATTTGTAAATAAATTAAAATTTATATACGTTGCACTTGTGGTTTATTTTAAACAATAAGTAAAAGGATGAGGTTAATAATAAATACGGACACTATGGCAAAAAATCATCCGAGTAACCGGGTACTCGATCGGAAGATTAGGCGAGTAACCGGTTACTAAAAATCGTCCGATTTGCCAACACTAATATATATGAGTCATATATATTTGAATTAAAAAAATGTCAGTTATAAAAAAAACATCTCATAAATTATTTATTAATGCACGCTTTAAGCCTTACATCAATTTTATTTTATTTAAAACTGATAGCATTCATCGTTTAACATAACAAGGACAATAACTCGTGTTAAGCGTAATTATCATGTGGGTCTGACTGGCGGAAGTAAACAAAAGATGACGTCAGAACATGCGCAATTTATAGTTCCGTAATATATTTTCCACAGACAGAAGTCAGAGAAGACGAAAATTATGCCACTTTTCACCCCTTCTACGCCTTTCGACGGTGATGTCGGTAAGATTGTATATTTAATCAAACATAAAAGAGCATTTATTTATAATAATGAGAAGGGGGAGAAATGTCGAAATTCAAGGACACAAGGTTTTGACACATGACTAAAAACCACTGTCTATATTACAACAAAAGCTAATGTCTTATGATAGGCAACCTCTTAGGACATTTTTTAAAATAAAATACCTAGTTTTAGATTGGAGATACATAATTCAAATGGCTAAAATCTCACAGTTTTTGTACGATTATCTGATATATCATAATCCTGATCAGTTCTGTTCAGTGTGTTACTTTCTGTTGTTAAAAAATCAATAAACAAATATCCTTCTGAAATCTAAGGTTCAGATTCAGTTTCTTGATTATAAATGTCTTAACTTAGAAATGAAAATTGGTTTAAAGCAATCGGGAAGTATATGACTATTTTTCATTTTATTTGGGCTAAGTCTAGTTAGAATGATCTAACTGTGTCTCGGTACAAGCCCTCACCACAGTTAGAATACGTCCCATATACTTGCAATGTAGCAAATCGGAGCGGATCCGCTCCGAAACGATTTTGAAGAATATAAAAGGATTTGCACTGGAAATAACTACCAAATTAATCAAAACAAACCTTTTTGAGATTGCTTATGCCTTTTATCCCAGAAAATAATCCATCTAAAGACGAAAATCCAATTAATTTTCTCAACATTTTTCTCTCGCTTCAAATTTACCTGCCATGTTTACATTCGGAACTCTCTAGATTGTTTGTAGTAAATGCACTGAGTTATAGTGAGTACGAGTTATCGCCCATGTTTCTTTTGCTACATTACAAATACATGGAACGAATTCTATCGTTAAAGCGGGTCCGTAGGACAATATCATTTTAAAGATAGAATGTTCTATCTAGGCTAACTCAGACTAATAATTACTTTGCCTATACTCTCTCTCTCTCTCTCTCTCTCTCTCTCTCTCTCTCTCTCTCCACATGACTCAAAACAACTTCCATTTTCTTTTTCATAATTTGCAGGGCTAGACACAATTTTAAACAGATTTTAAAATTCACTGTCCCCAGGCCAGCTAGCCCTGACTTGAAGTACCAATTTCAAAGAATTAAAGAAATGAATTAGACATAAAGCAGCATTATACATAACGGAGGTCAACTTGTATTAGATCTACCAATAATATAATGCAAATTTTTTTAATTAAGTGAATTAATGGACTTGATAATAGTTATTCATCTGTGCACCTGAATGTAAGCAGTCTATAACTATAAAGTTGCAATTAGTTAAAAGCTATTCAGCATCATCTCATAGGATAGTGATGTTTTGGAAATAGTAAGAAGTGTTTCTATCAGACTGAACTCAGGCCTCTATCCTGCCTATATTGAAAAACAATCTTTACAAAGAAAAAAAGTCATCAACTTCACTCTTAACCATTTCAGTTATCTTTCAGTTTTACTGTTGACCCTAATGGTGTAATTTGACTTTATAGATATTATACCATGGCTTACTGAATCAATATCTTATTCTTTGAAACTGATTACATAGCACACTGGTACAACAGAATGGTTTTTCCTTTGTATTTCAAAAAATGATCCCTTAAACTATGTTTTATTTAATAAATAAATGTTGTATAATAAATTTCAATAATTTCTTTTCATTTCATATATTAGTAGCTAATTAAGGCTGGAGGTGGATTATATCATAAATTTATCATTTATATCTGATCCTAAAGAGGGATTATGTCCTTGTTGAGAGGCACAGATCATCAATTCAAATTCGACACATTAATTGTGTTGTTTGATTTTATGATCCTTGTCTGTCAACATGATCTGGCTCTTTAGAGCAAGTTATTGTATATAACATGTATTAATTAATTTATTTCTATTTTAAAAGAAGTTTGGGTTTTTGCAAACTATAGCTAATTTAAAAGTATTGTCAGGCATAATGTTTTTGAAGAACTGTCTACTACAACTTGATCAATCTATTAATTAAAATTAGATGTTCTGATAGTGGATTCTGAACATCTTATTTTAATTAGATTGCAGCTTTTATAAATTAAAAACTTATAAAGTGTAGTTCATATATAGGAAATGGAAAATTGCTTTACAAAAACGCAAATTCAGACATTTTCATTTTAATGTTTGATTTCTCTTCAGCCTTCAAAGTTTCTATATCTTTTTTCAGAAAAGGCAACCAGTGAAATGAATACAGAAGAGAACTGGGCTGTTATAATGGACATAGTAGATAAAGTAAACACCACCAATGGGTAAGTTTGATATTTGAGAGGGTTAATAAACAGTGCCAACATTCTATTGCACTTCATTCATATAAATTTGATCATTTCTAAGAAGTACTCATTAATTTTTTTTTACATCACACAGTATCATTATATAACATTTGTCAAGAAAGTACCCAAGGGGGGATGGTGGTATTGTTTTTCAACTTTTTGTGATATTTTTTGTGGTATAATTCAGGTATTGAACACAGTAGAATAGCATAACAATTCTCCTTTAATTAAAGATTGATATATGTCTTAATATCAAATAGAAGAGATCAACATCACTTGAACTTCTCCAAATAAAGATATTGGAGAATGAAAAGATGTATTGTTGGATGGTTTATCATGAACTCAACATAAGAGTATGTGTTACATTTACAAGCTGTAACAAAATAGGTCTTCCTTTTATGAAATAAAACAATAAAGATGTTATGTTTCCTTGTAACCAAGGATAGATATGACATTTAATGTTTGAAAAGGGTCTCTCTTCATAAAATGACTCATTATCATGCTATTGTTTCATTATATATGGTTGGTTGTATGGCTTGTGTTTTTACACATGTATTAACTATTGCAAGAGCTTTCTTTGTGTACCATCATTTTTGATGTCCCATAACCTTTGAGATTTACCTTTTTTTTCTGAAAAATGAAAACTTTTGCCATATCTTTTAAACAATTGTTATGAACTTTAATTTTTCAATTATTTAATTATTGTGACAATACCTTTCTTCTGGCACCAACATTTTTAACATCTGAACATGACCTTGGAGTCTGACCAACTTTGAAAAAAAAATTAGCTTTATTCATAACTTTTGAAAACTTTGTGCTAAGGTTTTCATATTTCAGATGTGTATTCCTTGTGACAAGATTTTTTTTTATTTTTTGGGGGGTTGGGGGGGGGGGGTTGTTACCAACCACCTTTGACCAGGGAATTTTACTTACTTTTTCTAAACCTTTTACCTTGGTCATAACTTGTGAATAGTACTAGGGCTTTCAGATTGCATCTGTGTATTTCTTATGACAAGACCTTTTTTGGAGTATCAATATCTTTATCCCATGACCTTGCCTTAATTTTGAAAAAGCTGTCATATAGGGAGGCATCATTGTTCCACAATCTCATCCTGTTTCAAAATAGAAAGTTAAATAACAGTTGTTTTAAAGTACATTGAAGTTGATATGATATCAGTATTGCATCACCTGTAAGTGATATGATTTTGAAATATCCCAAAGGATTAAGAGCATTATTGATATCATCAATGTTGTGTTTCTCTGTTCTAGATCAAAAGATTGTTTGCAATCCATTGCCAAAAGACTGAATCACCGTGTCCCATTTGTGGCAATGCAGGCATTAACGGTAATTATACTTTGTAGTCTATGTATTGTAATCAAGAAATGAAAAGCAATATACCAGCTGTCTGATGTGAGTAGAGATGTTGCATGTAATTGATATTTTAATATTGAACATGCAAGCAGTGGAATAGATTTTTCACATTAAAGAATGCTCTCCTTAGGCTATTAAGGTTCTGGAAAAAATTGCATAGAAATAAGTAATACAAAGCAAAAAAGCTCACCTATTTCCAAAAATAATCACTGATTTAATTAAATACATCATTACCAGACATATATATATACAGACTGTTTAATTTTGGTTAAATGAACATTTTAAAGACCCAATTTTTTTACCGTACGGTTACGTGAGGAAAAGGAGTGGTCAAAGTAACAGTGGTGTTATTTACCTTGAGACCCCCAATACCCAAGATGTCAAAAATCTGTGTATACGTAGCATTACACAGGAAGTCTGTGTTTGGTAATCAGGGTCAACATTACGTGTTTTGTGTCTGGTTTTGAGTGAAACTACGTAAATTAATTATTTTAATATGAAATTTATTTGTTAACTAAACGCATTCATCGTAATCATGGTAATGTTTTGAAAGGAAAAAAAAATAATAAGATACATGTATATCGTTTAAATAAGAAAATATTTTCCTTACATTAAAGAAAAATTCACGAGTAAAAACTACAAATCAATAATATTTATCTTTTTTAATCTTCAAGTCAATAAAAAAATCTCTTGATTAAAAAAGTCTATTGAAATAAAAAATCATTGATCCACCTATTCGTCGTGCATGTGAACATGCATTTACCGCGATCGGAGTATCTTTTTTATGGCCAACAATGTTGTCCAAAATATTCCATATTTTTTATTCTTCGTATGTTAACAAAATTTTATTGTTAGAAAGATTTCTTTTCAGAATCGATCACTATTAATTATCTTCACATTTTCATTACGTATATATACAGATGCTAGAGGAAATTCGAGCATTAATTCTGACATCAATTTCTGTACAACATCGTGCGGATTGCAGCCATAGTACAAATTAAAACATCTTTTAAAAATTATGCTATGCCGTTTATTAGTGCTGAATATTTTTCTTATAACCCATTTCTTAAAAAATAATTTAATTCGTCGGACTTCTAATTACGGCAAATAGAGCCGGTTTCTGTGGACGCGGTCTTTTTTCTACAGATAAACGTGGACGATGTAACACTTCCAAGTAACAAACAGCAGTGAAGATAGAAAAGAAATATTTTATTATGTCAATGTTTTAATAATCTACTTTCAATTATTTTTTGAAATAAAATTCAAATATATTGGAGTTTTCTAATCCGCGTGTATACTATGCGGGTACATGAAAGCGTTTGAAGCGTGACCAGGTAATTGTTTTCAAAACATGCAAACTCATATTATCAGGAAGGACAGGTAGCTGACCTGTCAATCAAATCAGAAGCTATTGTTTTCTTTAATGATTGACAGGCGATAAATTATTGATCTTGAATCAGGTAGATTTTGGGGGCGTTAACATAAAATTGGGTGTTTAATGAATGGACTTTCTGCTTCATTTAATTTTTCCTTTTTGTTAAATTTTAATATCAATAACCTTTTTCGAGAATTGTTATGTGTAATTGATTTTGCTTAAATTAGATCAAGTTTACTAAGAACACAATTCTTTTTATAGCTCCTGGATGCTTGTGTCAACAACTGTGGTAAACCTTTCCATTTAGAAATATCCTCTAGAGACTTCATCTCGGAATGTCGGACTCTGATAAACCAAAAAGTAAGTTTTATTTTAAATACATAGCTTCTTTTAGAAGGATAATAAATGTATGTGATATAAAAGTAATATCTAAATTACTTCAAATTAAGTTGTTCATGAAAACATACAATTGTGCTCAAACTGCTAATTACTTCATGGACAAAGTTATAATATGTCACCTAGATTTCCAGTTTATTTAAAGCTCGAGATTTTCTATATCTGTACATTTGTTAAAGTAGAGTTTTTTTTCAAGTGGGAAACTTACTGACTGAAAATAATCTAATACCTTCATTGACAGGCCCATCCTAAAGTAGCTCAGAGGTTAAAGTTGATGATCAAGAAGTGGGCCGAGTCTAAGGAATTTAGAGATGAACCTACGTTAAGGTATGTTTCTATAACAGTACAAAAAACACCCCACTTTACATTAAGAGAAAAGGGTGACATATTTGTTTCTAAAAATTCTTGTTAAACTAAATGTGCATGTTTCGGATGAACCATATGAAATGAATATAATCGAGTTTAATACATTCAGTTTGTTTTGATGAAGAATTTCTTTTCAATTTTTAACATGACAATATATATTTTTTATTCAGTTTGATACCATCCTTTTACAACAGTTTGAAATCTGAGGGTGTAGATTTCAGTGATCAAGATGCCCCAGTAAGTCTGCATGATAAAACTTTATTTCATTGATGCAAAAGTGACCCTTGCAAGCTACTGTAAATATCATAAAATGGCTTTTAGACATCAAATCCTGAGAAAAATAATTTGCGAGTGGATTTTTCAGGAAATTTTACATGTATTTTAGCACCATAAAAATAAAAGCGAGTAACTTTATTTTGTGAGTGGCCCTTCTTGCGAAATTATGTGATAATTAATTCCTCACATATATTTAGAAATCTACAGTATTAGTCATATGTTTTAATTGTTTAGTTCAATTTTTTTTTTCAACTTCATATTTTAATTCCTTTTACTAAGAAAGATTTTCTTTCTGTTTGATGTTAATCATTGCATTCCTTTTTGATGGTTTTAGGTAAAGAAGTCCACACAGTTAAGCAGCAATCCCGATGTTGCAAATAGCCAACAGGAGGAAGATGATTTAGCAAAAGGTAAAATTATAATGAGTTAACGTGAATTTTAAGGAATGAGCTAATTACACACTCCCCCTCCAAAGAATCTAAATACATATAAGTGGGTAACATAGAAATCACCTTGACCATTTGTCTGTCTGTGCAGTCATGAGCAGAGTATAACTTTGTAATGGAGAATGATTCGAAACTCAAACCTTCTTGATACAAAAAAATAATGGGTATAAGCTAACAACCTTACGGCATAAAGTTTGTTGACCATGATCCAAGGACATTTTTGCACGTTCAAGTTCACTGGCTGAAAAAGTATAAAATTCATATATTGTTTAAACTCTTCATGGAGAAACAAAGTTCAAACCTCCTATATTAAAATTATGACTTAAAACCCGGAAGTGGGTCATGACATTGACCCAAGGTCATTTGATTAAGTTCATGGTAATGTTTGGAAAAATGTTTAACCCCTGTCCTTATTATATCTTACAATGGAGAACATTGGAGGCTCAAAGTTATGATATTTATCAGAAATATTGTATATAATCTAAGGATACACTGTATTTACTGACCTTGACAAAATTATATCAGCAAGTTCATGGTCAATTGTATACTTTGGAAAATGTTTGTGAAAGAAGAAGAAAACAAATCAAAAGTGATTTTTTAATGTTGCTCAATTCAAAAAAAAAGTTTTAAAGAATATGTATTTTAGTTATTCATTTTTGAAAATCTTTTTTCTTTTGAATAGCAATAGCCCTTTCCTTAAGAGAATCAGAGAAATCAACAACCAAGACCACAAGTTTGTATCCTACAGGATTTAATTCCTCTGCTATTTATGCCACCAGTAGTAAACCCAAAGAAGTCAGAAAGGTCAGTGTATGCAAGAGATGGGGAATCAGTCAGATAAATCTGTGTTACAATGCTTAAGATTTAAATTTTTTTAAAAGGATTTTTGTTCTTGGCTGCTATAAACACAGGATAACATTCATCTTATACATGTATAAACAGTATGTCATGTACTTCTATTTGTACTTTAAGTATATATGATTATATAAAGATGATAAACCAATGTGAAGACTGTCTTTATGCGGTGTAAACTTGTTTGGGTGTTTTGACTTACATATGTTTGTGACCTGTGTTGTAGGTTCGAGCCTTATATGACTTTGAAGCTGCTGAGGATAATGAGCTGACATTTAAGTCGGGAGAATTCATTAGTGTCACTGACGACAGGTGTAGTAACCATTACTCACTATGACCTACATTTATTCAATTTGTTTATGCTGTTAGGATGCATGATTCATAGCCTGAGATTATTTTGCTCATTATGTATCACAGATTACGTGTAAATAAGAAATTTTGAAGAATGCATATAGTTTAGTTAAATAAAGACCAACATTTCCTCAAATTCTTTTAAGATATATAAAAAAATCATGAAACAAATTTAACAAAGGAATAGATATTGCATGTATTCATAGGTCTTCATATGTAACCCCAGGAAAGTGACATTTAGATTGTACAGAGATGACAAATTATTGTGTTCTATATTGAGAAGTTGATAAATAGGCAAAGTCATCAGCAAAATATGAAGGCTATGCAGCTACATGTATTTCAACCTTTTTATAGGAATGATTTGTATTGCTTATCATTTTGAAACTAAAGCCTGACACCATTTGGATTTAAGAGCTCCATTTTAAAAACTAGTAATACTGATGGCATAATAATGTTTTTTACAGTGACACAAACTGGTGGAAAGGCTTCAACCATCGAGGAGAGGGGCTGTTCCCCGCCAACTTTGTCACCTCAGACCTGACAGTAGAGCCTGAAGAATGTAAGAATTAGACTGCATCGAAAGGAGAATGATTTCCAAATTCATATCAATCGAGGAAATATTATGTGACAAGAGCACTTTGTTTTTTATTTGAATTATGATATCTAGTTTCTGATTTCATTTCAGCCAAAGCAGAAAAAGCTGTATCATTTAAGGAGGAGGTTCAGGTTTTGGATTTTGAATCCGATGAAGTGACAATTGATGAGGTAATTATAAACTCACCTAAGGCCCAACTTTTCAGATTATGTGGCATATGTATGTCTATATGTACATTCAGATTTGTTTAAATTATGATCCCCGGGTTAGGGAGGGGCCACTAAAGAAGATTGTGACCCCTGATATTAAGATGGGGCTACAATAGGTGATCAAGTATAGACATAGTATATATATAAAGGGGAAAATCTTTAAAAATGCTGAAAATTAACAAGGCCATGATTGTTCATATGGAAGTATCCTCAGTTAGTATAGATTCAATTCTAAATGCAATGATTTGTAGGATGATTGAATTTGTCAGTTAAATCTTATACATTGATTTAGTTCAACCAGCTTTGTCCGATATTATGATTATTTAAGTTATGTGTAGTACTACTGGTAGTGAATGCTTGTATGGGATCCCCAATTTTACGTTTATATCAGGGTAAGATTGACGAGGTGTTACAGCTGATACAGAATGCTGATCCCACGGGAGAAACACAGCCAGACTCCACCGAAATGTTACGACTGGAGAACCAGTGCTCCAGAATGGGCCCTCTCATTGACACTGAGTTAGAGAAAATTGACAAGTGAGTCTTGATATATGCACTAGGCTCTTAAATTTATTTATTTTCTTTGAAGAAAAGAAACTATGGTGTACCCAAGCTGTGTATGTTTGGTCATGTTGTTTGTTATTTCAGGTCAATAAATTTAAAAGTCAAGAAAGTTAAAAAATGTACCGTAGTTTTTAGCCACCATAAGGTGCCATGTATTTCACAAAGAATAATTGATGATTTATAGGATTTTAAAGTGCTGTACTACACCATCATTTCTGACACAATTATTTTGTTATGCTTGTTTCTTTATTACTCCTAGAAAAAGTTCTCGTAGTTGTAAATATTTAAAGGAATCCACTGCCTACCCAAGCAACTCTGTCCAGGTCATAACTATGTAATGGAGAAACATTTGAAGCTTAAACTTCACAGAAACTGAGAAAGATTTACTTATCACCTAAAAATGTGTCTTGACCTTGATGAAAGGTTATCTGGATAACTTCAAGGTTATTGGCAGAAAAAAGTGTAATACTCAAATCAGGATAAAAACTTTTTAACAAAAAAAAAGATTAAGTTTACACTTTGAACAAAGATTACTTGTGGCCTGAGGTATGTCATGACCTTGAACCAATGTCAATTGGGCAAGTTCAAGGTCACATGCAGAGAAACGGTTTTCTGTCTCAGCACAATTTTGGGAAACTAATACTAAGCACAAACAGTGCTTATGACCTATTGGTCAGAGTACAAGGTCACTGCCAGAAAAAGTATATTTGATTGTACAAAATATACAGTAAAATTGAGTGATATTGTGAACACTGTTGTTTATCCATAACCTTTGAAAAGAGAATCATTGGATGCAACACTTTGCATGGTATCTTTAGTTTTATCCATAAAGTAATAAATGTAAGGGGTAACCTTTGTAACTACAAAATCTAAGTGTTAAAAAATTAGGTTACAGGATTTTGAATACAAATTTGAATGATGCCAAAAATTTTTATAGACTGGCTTCTGCCTCTATTCTATACTTCATGAACAGGCAGTTTAGGACTTTTGACAAAATATATTGTTTACTTTATCAAATTAAAAGTGCTAAACAGCTTAAACATAATTTGAGTTTTTTTTATTTTTTAAGAAAATTTTTTAATTTATTTTTTTTTTTGTAAATCTTGATGGTTAATAATGTTTCATTTTTTTAATTCTCTTTGGCAGAAAACATGCCAGTTTATGTGAATTAAATTCTAAAGTGGTAGAGGCAATGCAGTTGTATCACAACTTAATGAAAGAGACCCCTGCTCCTTATGGCTACAAAACTCAACATCCTGCTGCTCCTATGAATTACAACTTTCCCAGTCAGGTACATATTACCTTTGTATTTGTTTCAATTAATTTTTCTTGATTTCTTTAAACTTGATTGTTTTATGTATGTATTGAATGTACAGATTGTAATGCTATGAGTTTGTTGAAATCATTTTGCTTTTATGATGATATTTTTTCCTTATACAGTCAGTGTATAATGGTCAACCCCAGTTTCAGCCTGGGCCCGGTCAGATGCCACCTAGTACTCTACCACAGGGATCCATACCCGTGGGACAGATGCCCTTACCCCAGGGATCAATGCCACAAAATCTGGGCATGATTCCCCCAAATGTACAGATGCCACAGAATCAAATGAATTCATCAGTTCCTCAGCAAATGTCCATGAATCCACAGAATTACATGCCACAAGTACCCAGTAGTCAACCTTACAGGTAAATAGGCATTTAGAAACAGTTCAAAGTTTCATAAAATTACCAGTTTAAAAGAAAATGAAGAAACATGATCAGAAATAAAATATCTTGGTTGATGTACATACTTGAAAAATTTTATCTATTTTTAATACCAGTACTTAATTTACCATAGTACAAAACATTTCATTAATAGTTTTAATTATGAGAATTTTACCTCTATTTATTTAATCATTTACTGAAGTTATCTTTACTTACAATCCAACAGTTCCTCATCTGATTCAAGTATGAATGCTTACAATCCATCAGTTCAATCCCAGAGTGCAATGCCTCCCTCCCACAACCAATCAATGCCACAGCAAGTTTCCTCGGCCCAGAGCGGGGCCCCTCAACAGAACTTTCAATACACAATGTCACAAATGGACGGTAGACAGTTTTACCAGCCTCCACCCCAACAACAGCCCCTCTTATGAAATCAGTGATTCTGTCTTGTTATTCACACATTTTGTTGTTTTCAGTGTTACATACAAACGTCTACTTCATAAGATACAGGTTACAGCATTTCCGTGTCCATGTTTCTTGCATAAGTAACACATGTAGTTGAGAAACAACTACATTTATATATACATATATGTTTTATATTTAAGGTGGCATAACAATATGTATGTACATGTAAGTTATTTATACTTGTACAGAAGAATCATCTTTGTGTAAATGAACATTTGTTTTAAAGCATTTCTAAGTACATTGAATTCAGTGTACTTGCTGTATGTGAGGTTAATAACAAGATTTATATGAGGAAGAGTTTAAATCAGTGCATGAGACGCTTTGAAGTTTTCTGTGTATTAACGAAGTACACTGTACAAATGTTATGCAGCTGTTTGAAGCTGATGTCTGCTTTTTTTTCTAAATACATGTTTATGAGAAGATATTTGTTGGGGAATGTAAAAAAATTTTAGCAGTAAAATATTGCTTAGTACTTTTGTCTGTCATTCAAGATCTTCATCCTTAATGAAAAAATTACATTCTTACTGTTGGAAGATGAAATTGAGTAAAAATTTTGTCATAGGATTCGCAGCATTATATTTTAGAATGTATATGGTGTATGACTTGTGCAGTAATTTCATTTTTATTCTAAATGATTCCTCTGTTTCAAACACCTCTCCTGCTTGGTACTTGGTTCATTGATATCCTCAATAAATTATTATTCATCAATAAACACAAAAGAACATGTATTTGTTCACATGCAGTCAGTTTTTGATTGTACATGTAAGTAATTTTCACATTTCTTTGAATGTATATTGTATGTTGTTAATGTACAGGTACAATGTATGTATGATGGGGCAGATTGTTCTGTCACCTTGGCAAGCTGTGATACAGATGAGTGATACTGTAGGGAATATAGATCTCGGATACAAAAATCATATGTAGCATGTGCTTGTAAAAAGATATACTGTCTGCTTGAAATGACTGTTTAGAAGGCTTTTTTTTTGATAGTCTAAAAGCAACAGAAATATTTTTGTCTTGATTAATAGAATTGTACCTTGAACAAAAAATTAATACAAAATTTGAACAACAGAAGCTGTGCCTTCGTAGAAAAAAAACAACTTTTTTTATACTTAAAAAAAAAAATAGCTGATTTATATCCATAAGAAGTTGATAAAAAGTTAAAATATTACAGACTTTCTGTATGTTTTTTTTTTGCAGGCTATTTGCAGCCATTATCATTTTAGTCCTATAGGGATATATGTTGCATAGAGAAGGAATTAATTAAAGAAATTCCTTCAGCTAAATAGATTTGACCTATTTCTAAATGCCTTTGTGTAGATGTTTAACTTCCATGTACTGTACATGTTGCTGTTAATTGTTGTTCTGAGTAAAAGTTATGAATGGGCAGATGTTTGACATAATCTGTAATCTGGAATACACAGTGATACAACATTATTAAAGACTCTTCATTTTTGATTTACTAATATACAAATATTCTGACCATGAAAATAATTGTGCAGGCTTGAGGAAGTTACAGCTACAAATTAAACAGTTTTTAATGATTTGGACAATGTTTTGAGATGGAAAGTAAATTATATTATTGAATGGGGGTCTTAAGTGATTTATTTAATACCTCTTATAATTTGGATCTGCATGATATAATCTTTCCTTGGGGGGGGGGCTCATCTTTTCAAGTTTTCACAATATTTTGGGGAAATCGGTTTTAATATTTCATTGAGATAAATAGTTGGGCAAAGAGGCATTGCATGGATGAATAATGCTGCATTCCTCTGTCCCTTAGTCCTTTGTGTAGGACAGTTTTATCTTGTTCATTTACTTATGTTTTCCAGCAGTTTTGAGAGATTAATTTTTCAGATTTTGTAAACTACTATGATTAGATGATGTGAAAAAATTTTATTTTCCAGTTTCCCTTTTGTTGAAACTTCATTCATTTTGGTGACATTGTTCATGATTCTTGCTTGCAAATGATACCAGGGGATAAAAGGGAGGCGCAAGATCCTTTTCTTGCTTTTAGATAGAATTTTTTTTAACTCTGCAAGGTGAATTAAGGGGGTGGGTGGGTTGATTTTTATTGGATTGCTTGTTTTTATTGGGGCATTAACATCGATTAACATTACTTTATAAGTTAGGGATCAAAGGGCCTTGAAGTATGACTGACTATAGCAATACATTAAATTTTTGGAATATTTATAATACGTAATTTTTACATTGTAAATGTGCGTTTAGCCAGATGCAGGGAATTTCTATTAACCAAACAGGAATGCACGAAATATGGTTTTCCAAAGATGATAAATAGGAAAAGAAGTACATTTACTTAAAAGGTCCCAAGAAAAAAGAAACTTTCAGTTAATCCCCCCCTTCTTAAAAAAAGGAAACTGTTCTAAATCGAATAATGATTATAATTGATTTTGTGTGGGTTGGGGAGGGTTCCAACCTTTTTTCTAGAAACAAAATTAAGGATAAATTAACCCAGGTGATGGGTTACCATTCAAAAGCACATAACGCTGTCAGTTAATTACTTCCATGTCATTTCATAGAAAATTTCCACTATTATCGGAATTTTACTTTCTCGCTCCTCTTTTAGCGACAAAAATATGGAGCTCCAAAAATTTTTGAAGATATTTTTTTTTTCTACGGGTAAGTTTAAATTTTTTATCACCCTATGTATAAAGGAATAAAAATGTAAATTTATTCTTAATCTTCTTACTGGGTTTGGGTGGGGCTCAATCACAATACACACATATTCTCTTTAGTGAAATGGACAGACTTTTTGCCTACATTGGATTGGTCGACTGTTACGTTCTTCATTTTGCCAAAAACTGATATAATTATATGATGGACACCCCCTCCCTTTTTCTTTTTGAAAAAAAAATCCTTGATTCTATAGCACATCGACTTAAGTTAATTAAATACTAAGTACATAATAAATAAATGACGTTGGTGTATATTATATTTAGCAACATAAAGTTTCCTTGCTGTATAGATGTACATGTATATTTTTTCCCTGTGTATTTCACCACAGTACAATAAACATCCGGTTCATTATGTATTCAATTCTGATTGGCTAGTATATTTGGCTAGGTTAAAATTAGAAAATGAGCACATGTCTTCAATATATAAACACATTCTTGATTCGTGATTTCATCATACACTGAAAATCGACTCGTGAAACGTGAACAGAGCTAACTTACTAAATGGCAATTAAACTAACAACGATGGATAATCAGATGAACCAGCGCCATTCTGCTCACCAGCCAGGACAGCGCCCCCCTCGGGCGCCAAAGCGCCACCGTTTTTTCTCGAGCCCGCCCCACCATCGGGTCTCTAAGACCTCCTGTGTTAAACAAGAGGAGGGTGACTATAAAATCATCATTGAAGCGTGGGGAGAAAGCTTCTACCCTACCTCAAGTGAAACCGTTCTCTGTTCCTTGTAATCTGTATATAGGGAATAATTTCAACGTTCGAATTTACAATTATTTTGCAATGCAGAAGTCAGTACAGAACAACAAGGATGGGGGTTTAGTTCACCTGGATTTTGACCCAGTTATGCACTTCAAACACATGAAGCTGTCTACGGCAGCCGAGAAAATATGGAGTGTTCCTAATGCTGGGGGAAATTCTGTTATTTCTGAAGTCCTCTCCTTCGAAACGTTCCACAGGTGTTTCCATGCTAAGCTTTTCAAGGTGGGTATACACTAATTTTAAAGAATCCATATAGTCAATATGCCTGATACAAGTACATGCGTATATAAATTTATATAATCCAGATTTATCGTGGTATTTTAATTCCGTTCTTGAAAACATTATAATATTTCAAATGATCAATTTTGAAAAACGTGTATCACTATCAGAAAGGTTAAAAAAATTGTCTGAATTGGGAAAAAGTATTATATACATCTATTCTATAATGACAGCAATGATGTGGTATTTTGTCAATTCTTTCAGACTGAAATGGAGGTTTCTTACTTCCCAGAAGGGGGTTCAATAACGGACTACGTTTGTGAAATTTTCGACACAAAAGTGGGCGTGTCTGTCACACGTGCTATGAAGTACCGAGGGGACTTCACAGAGGAGGATGCCCATCACCTCCTGATGAAAAAGCTGAAAGGTACGTATTATGTACTGAATACTACATATTTATCGTGTTTATGGGATAACGATTGATAATGTCCAAACTCCATCTATTCTATTTCGGAAGCAATTCTCGTAAACAACCGTTTTTCTTTTTATATACATATTTCCAACTTTAAAGGGTATGTGTTTCTTCAAAAAATATTAAAGGGGTAAAGGGTCCGTAGTAATTTTTATCTTACGATATAAATTTAATAATAACTCTGAAAATTTTTAAAGGGTTTAGGACTCCAATCCACACCTATTTCTGCCGTTAATTCGTGCTCTGTCGCCATATAGATTGTTTCCAAAGATACAGGAGTAAGTAAATAAAAATAATAATTTCTATCTTGCAGGGGTAAACCAGGCAAACAGAAATACTTTAGAGAAATGGAATAAGCAGATTCTGCATGTTTGGGTCCAAAACAAGGAGGTAGCTAATTTGATCACTAAAACCTTCAACAACCTGTCAATGGACCTAGTGTCCAGCACTGTAGTGGTCATCTCCAGGACCCGACGGTCAGACTTCATCTTCTACAATCCCTGAGAAGAAGGTCGTGATTTCATTTTGAACGTCGGTTGCAGTCCGTCATCTTGAGGAGCCTAATTCCATGTCTTCAGCTTCTTACAGAAATTTTGACTGATGTCAATATGCCAATGCCCGCTGTCCTGGATTCATCTTCTACAAGCCCGCGACAAGAAGAAAACGATCGGGAGGTGAATTTTTCCAAGACCTACTGCGCAGACTTCACAATTTACAATCCCTGACAGAGAGATCACCTTCAGGGATAATGGTGATCGGCACCTAGTCAGATTTCAATATCAGACAAGACACAGTCAGCAGTGGTACTGGTCTAACTAAAAGCCCTGATATACAAAGATCATCCCAAGTGGTCAACTTCTGGCCCTATACCACCTGACAAAGACACCCTCCGTCTCAGTCCCAGGCTACAGCCAGGGGAAGTTCGATAGGATTGAGCAGCAGGCCAGGCCTATCAAAGACCTCTCCCTGAAATTTGAATTCCTGCCATTCGATCAAAAATTCAAACAGATTATTTCAAATAAAGTTCAAATTAAGTATTTGTTTTTTCTCTGAGATTTTTAACTCACCTGAGCTGAAAGCTCAAGTGAGCTTTTCTGATCACCGTCGTCCGTCCGTCTGTTCGTCTATAAACTTTTCATATTTTCAACTTCTCAAGGACCACTCGGCCAATTTTAACCAAACTTGGTACAAATCATCCTTGGGTGGTGGGGAGTTTAATTTGTTAAAATGAAGGGCCATTTCCCCTTACAAGGGGAAGATAATCAAGAAAAAGACAAAAATTGGGTGGGATCATTAAAAAAATTCTTCTCAAGAGTCAAGAACCACTGGGCCAGAAAAGCTGAAAGTTATGTGGAAGCATCCTGGGATAGTGTAGATTCTTAATTGTTCAAATCATGACTCCTGGGGGTAGGACTGGGCCATAATAGGGATCCCAAGTTTTACATCGAAATATGTAGGAAAAATCTTCTCAAGACCCGATGGGCGAGAAAAGCAGAAACTTATGTGGAAGCATCCTGGGATAGTGTAGATTCTAAATTCATTTGTTAAAATCAGGACCCAGGGCGAAGGGCTAGACCACAATAGGGAATCCAAGTTATCATAGAAATATATGGAAAAAATCTTTAGAAATCTTCTTCTCAAGTACCAATGGAGCAGAATGGCTGAAACATATGTTGAGGCATCTAGGGGTAGGGTAGTGTAGATTCTAAATTGTTAAAATCATGACCCGGGGGAGGGGGGAGGACGGGGCCACAATAGGTATTACAAGGGGGAAATCTGATAAAGAACAGCATCATCAAAGTTACTCGGGTGAGCGATGTGGCCCATGGGCATCTTGTTTTCCTGATACCAAGAGGATACTGAGAATTAAAATGCTTATCTTCCTGTGGAAATTAAATATTAGAATGAAAAAAAAATTGGAATTCATGGCTTGCAACAGGGAACTGTCGGTTGTCATTTTGTTGCCTGTTTCTGCGTTGCCTAAACCGTTAGGAAGGGTATGTGTTTCTTCAAAAAATATCAAAGGGGTAAAGGGTCCGTAGTAATTTCTAGCTCTACTGGTCAGAGACCAGAAGAGCTTATGCGATAGTAATGCGTCCGTCGTCCGTCCGTCTGTCTGTCTGTCTGTCTGTCCGTCTGTCTGTCTGTAAACAATTTTTCAAAATGCTACTCCTCCTACAGTTTTGGTCCAATTTCAATATAACTTGGCACACAAGTAGACTACACTAAGATACATAATGCTATGTATCGGTTTTTGATTTCGATGAACGGTGTTGCCGTGGTTACTAAAAATAGAAATTTCTGTGAAATTCTTTCAAAATGCTACTCCTCCTACAGTTTTAGTCTGATTTCAATATAACTTGGCACACAAGTAGACTACACTAAGATAATAAGTTCTGTGTATCAGTTTTTGATTTCGATGAACGGTGTTGCCGTGGTAACTAAAAATAGAAATTTCTGTGAAATTCTTTCAAAATGCTACTCCTCCTACAGTTTTGGTCTGATTACAATATAACTTGGCACACAAGTAGACTACACTAAGGTACACAATTCTGTGTATCGGTTTTTGATTTCGATGAACGGTGTTGCCGTGGTTACTAAAAATAGAAATTTCTGTGAAATTCTTTCAAAATGCTACTCCTTCTACAGTTTTAGTCTGATTTCAATATAACTTGGCACACAAGTAGACTACACTAAGATACATAATTCTGTATATCAGTTTTTGATTTCAATGAAGGTGTTGCCGTGGTTACTAAAAATAGAAAATTCTGTGAAATTCTTTCAAAATGCTACTCCTCCTACAGTTTTGGTCTGATTACAATATAACTTGGCACACAAGTAGACTACAGTAAGATACATAATTCTGTGTAGCCGTTTTTGATTTCGATGAACGGTGTTGCCGTGGTTACTAATAATAGAAATTTCTGTGAAATTCTTTCAAAATGCTACTCCAAATACAATTTTAGTCTGATTATTATATAAATGTTGCATGCAAGTAGACTGCACTAAGAACATAAAGAGACTTAATCAAGGATAATTATTCTATTTATCTGTTGAAAAGTTTCAATTTCCAACTGCTTAAGTACTTTTCTCTTCCTTTGCTATAAGTACAAACCAGTAGAGCTTCAGTCTCGACAGAAACTTCTGGTTTATCTTACGATATAAATTTAATAATAACTCTGAAAATTTTAAAAGGGTTTAGGACTCCCAATCCACACCTATTTCTGCCGTTAATTCGTGCTCTGTCGCAATAGATTGTTTCCAAAGATACAGGAGTAAGTAAATAAAAATAATAATTTCTATCTTGCAGGGGTAAACCAAGCAAACAGAAATACTTTAGAGAAATGGAATAAGCAGATTCTGCATGTTTGGGTCCAAAACAAGGAGGTAGCTAATTTGATCACTAAAACCTTCAACAACCTGTCAATGGACTTAGTGTCCAGCACTGTAGTGGTCATCTCCAGGACCCGACGGTCAGACTTCATCTTCTACAATCCCTGAGAAGAAGGTCATGATTTCATTTTGAACGTCGGTTGCAGTCCGTCATCTTGAGGAGGCTAATTCAATGTCTTCAGCTTCTCACAGAAAGTTTGTCCGATGTCAATACGCCAATGCCCACTGTTCTGGATTCATCTTCTACAAGCCCGCGACAAGAAGAAAACCATCGGGAGATGAATTTTTCCAAGACCCACTGGACAGACTTCACAATTTACAATCCCTGACAGAGAGATCACCTTCCGGGATAATGGTGACCGGCACTTGGTCAGATTTCAATATCAGACAAGCCACAGTCAGCAGTGGTACTGGTCAAGCTACAAACCCTGATATACAAAGACCATTCCTAGTGGTCACCTTCAGGCCATACCACCAGACAGAGACACCCCCCCCCCCCGGCTAAGTTCTAGGTCACAGCCAGGGGAAGTTCTATAGGATTGAGCAGCAGGCCCGGCCTATCATAGACCTCTACCTGAATTTTTAATTCCTGCCATTCGATCAAAAATTCAAACAGATTATTACAAATAAAGTTCAAATTAAGTATTTGTTTTTTCTCTGAGATTTTTAACTCACCTGAGCTGAAAGCTCAAGTGAGCTTTTCTGATCACCCGTCGTCCGTTTGTCTGTTCTTCTATAAACTTTTCATATTTACAACTTCTTGTCAAGGACCACTGGGTATTTTAATCAAACTTGGTACAAAGCATCCTTGGGTGGTGGGGAGTTTAATTTGTTAAATGAAGGGCCATTTCCCCTTACAAGGGGGAGATAATCAAGAAAAAGACAAAATAGGGTGGGGTCATTACAAAAATTCTTCTCAGGAGTCAAGAACCACTGGGCCAGAAAAGCTGAAAGTTATGTGGAAGCATCCTGGGATAGTGTAGATTCTTAATTGTTCAAATCATGACTCCTGGGGGTAGGACGGGGCCATAATAGGGATCCCAAGTTTTACATCGAAATATGTAGGAAAAATCTTCTCAAGACCCGATGGGCGAGAAAAGCAGAAACTTATGTGGAAGCATCCTGGGATAGTGTAGATTCTAAATTCATTTGTTAAAATCATGACCCCGAGCGAGGGGCTAGGCCACAATAGGGAATCCAAGTTATCATAGAAATATATTGGCAAAATCTTTAGAAATCTTCTTCTCAAGTATCAATGGACCAGAATGGCTGAAACATATATTGAGTCATCTTTGGGTAGGGTAGTGTAGATTCTAAATTGTTAAAATCATGACCCGGGGGTGGGGGGGGGGCACAATAGGTATTACGAGGAAATCGGATAAAAACGGCATCATCAAAGTTACTCGGGTGAGCGATGTGGCCCACGGGCCTCTTGTTTTCCTGATACCAAGAGGATACTGAGAATTAAAATGCTTCTCTTCCTGTGGATTTTAAATATTAGAATGAAAAAAAAATTGGAATTCATGGCTTGCAACAGTGAACTGTCGGTTGTCATTTTGTTGACTGTTTCTGCGTTGCCTAAACCGTTAGGAAGGGCGAGACACCACGGGGGTCTAAAGTTGAATATAGACCTGGAATATATAGAAAATAAATGTTCAAACATAACAAAGCCATGTTTAGTCAAATTAATATGAAAGCACCCTCAGATAGTGTACATTTTAGTTTGTTTAAATCATGACCCCCGAGGGTAGGGTGGTGCCAAAATGGGAAATCAAACTTTCACGAAGGAATACATATATTAAAAAAATCTTTATAAAATTAGTAATGAAATTTAATACATTCTAGTTGATAAGGAGAAGCACTGACTCGACTTGGAATAAAAAATAAGAACGCTTGTATCAAGTAATATACATTGACTGAGTTCGAGGGCAACATGCGTTTATTTGTCGGACCCAAGAATCAACTTATTTGCCCGAGGCCGTTAGACATTTTGGTTCGAGGGTCGACAAAACGCATTTTGCCCGAGAACACAGTTAATAATGTTTTGTTATATACCTTTAAAAAAATATTTATTTGACATACTTGTATCTTGGAATGTCCTCCGTGATGTAAACCTGTTAAACACCACCGAATGCAAGATACGCCCATTGTGTGACGTAAGCGGTCCAACATCTCTTCGACAGGTCCAACATCTCAATAAGCGGTCAAACGTCGATTTTTTATGCCCGCTCAGTAAAGCATTAGAAATGTTAGTCTTTATTTCGTTCGATTTGTATAGAAACAAATATTTTAAGGTATAACAATAATAAATAATTTGCTGACAGAATACTAGTAGTTTGAGAAAACATTAAATGTTCCATTCATGTAGTGTACATACATGTATATATATGCTAGGCCGAAGGCAGGCAGTTTGGTTGATTTGAACATATTTTGTTGTATATATATACTTTACAATTGGGATTGGGCAAAAGTTCTAAAAACTTAATACGCCCTTTCCCTACATATGCATTATACCGAACATATTTACAAACACGGGATTCAGCTTAAAATGAATTAACGCAGAAAAACACAATACTAGTATATAATAATCATAGCAACACACATTCCTTTTGTAATACACATGCTGTATAAAATTGACAAGAAACAATTATTGTATCAACCAAATCGCCCTGACTTTTTAATAAAAGGAGATGGGTGAACTTAGCGTGCAAAAAACCCACAAGCCTCAGATATATAAAAATCATATTTAAATTGTGAATTTAGTATTTAGAGTAAAGTTCTCATCATTGATTTTTATGAAATCATGAGAAACAAAAAGTTTTGAGGAAAAATTTTCGTTAACATTTATTCTTTAATATAAAAAAAAATAATGTCGTATCCATTGGGTTCGAACCCTGGCAATAAAAATTCTGTGTTGCATTCTCTATTGAAAGCCGCTTCATCCGAAACAGGCACATATTATCTTAAACAATAAAAGTATGTCATTACATAGATAATATTTAAAAATTAATTATAAGATTGATTTAACAGTTTATTACAACAATCCTTACATGGAAAACATAGACCAAAAACCTTGTTGACAAAGAGCAGTTCCTGACTGGAAGTTAAGATCTGTTTTGAAGTCACCTTTGAAAAAAATACTTTTATCGGTTATATCTAATTATGAAGAGAATATTCAAACCCGAGTATTTTTTTTCCATTAGTAGAATCCTAAGTCATGATATATCTTTTAAAAATTAAGAAAATAACTGAATATAATCCATAGTAATTTTTATATTAATATGCATATTTACAGAATAAAGGAAAATCAGATATTTTTAAAGATTTTTTAAAAAGGGAGTTTAGTAACGAGGGATAGAATATTGCCCGTGTACACTTTGTTGTGGAAAAAATGCTCGGGTTTGTTCTTCATGAGTTATACATGTAAGCGATAAATTTAATTTTTCGAAGGTGATTTCACGTAATGTAAACAAAGGATTATTTTTTGTGTGACCTAACAAAAATTATTTTTTTAACTTTTGAATTTTGATATCTTTAAAAAGAAAAAGACTCTGGGGATATAATTTGACAAAAGTTGAAATAATTTATGGACAATTATTTTTCAAGAAGAAAAACGAATATAATTTTTTAGCGATTAGAATCGGACCAAGCGGCTTGAAACTAGCAGGCTAACCACTACGCTACACAAGTTCTGATGAAGTGTGGCATTTAATCATGTTTGTGATATGACCATTGACTTAAGGGACTTCAAGTATTTCTCGAAAAGATACGAAAGTTATATCATAAACTTATATTTTTAAGGTATAGTGGGTCATTGCTCCATAATTTTGGAAACCAAAATATGTATGTTTTTATGCAAACTTTGAGGATTACCTTTCCAAAAAATGGAGAGAAGACCCACTCATAACGAAAAATAGTGTTATAGTGTGAAAAAATGACTCGTTTTGTCCTCTTTCGTGTGTATATAATATTTCATAGGCAAGTAACTTCAATTTTCATGAGATTTGTGCAAGTAATAGAGATTTTACATAAAGTATACTTTAATGTTAGATGAATTATTAAGGAAAATTTTGATAAAATTGAGGTTTAATTTTTCACCTCCATGTTTGTCGCACTATGGGCTTATTTCTCGTCATGTTCACCCATCTCCTTTGTACAATAGAAAAGAGGTATTCATTTTCAATATCATTTAACGTTTCATCTCCCCAGAGTAAAGTGTGAGTATCGACAGTATGTAATTTACCAATTCACAAAAATTTGTCAAAAAAATCTTTTCCGGATTCTGTATATTTTTTGCATGAGAAGAAATAATGATGATTATCCTCCACTCTTCTACAAGAACATAAGGGACTCAAGATTACATTACATCGAAAAAGATCGCTATTAAGGTCAGATGATACAAACAAATTTATGTCAAAAATTTTGAAAATAACAACTAGGGTTATGTTTAAATGAGTAAAATAATTAAATTTCACCGCGTAGTTTTTCATTTTTCATTCAAAATTTCACAAAAATGGGAATTCAAGTGAAAAATATTTGTATAGATTAATAAGGATGGTTTCAGAATGGCAGACTTTTGATCATCACAGAAGGTTTACAAGTTCTTTATATTCTAGAAATTTGTTATTTGCATCATTTGCAATGAAATTATTCCAAAAAATATATACCGATCCAGGCATTTTTGTTTGTATCATCTGTCCTTAAGCAATCAGTTATGTTGAAGCCTCGTGAGTCGTGTGTATTATATTTAAGCGTCGAATTCCGTAACACAGTTTGGTTCAAGGGTCGACAAAACGCATTTTGTCCGAGAACATAGTCAATATATGTTTTGTCATACCTTTAATTTTAATTTTTTTTTTACATATACTCGTATGTATTTTACAATTTCTTTCGCGATGTAACATCAGTTCCGTCACTGTTGAACACCAGCGAATGAAAATGAGATTAAGCTCCACACATTCTGTGACGAAAGCGGTCCAACATCTCATCGACCAATCCAACATCTCGTTCAGCGGTCAAACATCGATGTTTTAATGCCCGCTCAGCAAAACATTAGAAATGCTGGTCTTTTTTTTCGTGTAGATTTGTTTAGGAACAATTTCTTAAAGGTATAACAATCATTCTTCAGTCACATATTGAACAATGTTATGATTGTAGTAATGTTTTATGAATTAAAAAAGAGGTTCTGTAGACCCCCCTTCACACAATATTTTTATACCCAGTGGCTCTTAAATTATATAATTTGTAATTGACATGTTATCATCTCCACCTTTAAATCTGAATAGTATAAGGATCTGAAACATGAAGACAAATCCTGGGGCGACCAGCTAGGGTTATAGATGTTATTTTTATATCTGTGATACATGGCATGATGTTACCCTCTTATTTTATGATTTATTGATTTCCAGATATTCATAATTAATAACTGGAGGTGAAGTGCCGGACAGCAGCCAGTATACAGACAAAATACGTCAATTTAACCAGTGCATGTAAAAATATCATTTGACTTTTAAACATAAAAATGTTAACTTGCTGGATTTTGGTATTATTATCACAACTCTGTCAAGGTAGAAATGGAATGTTTTCTGATGTTCAAAGTGTTTATCTTGAGAAATTGGATCAAAGCGCGAAAAGTTTGGATAT